CCTCCGTCTCCGAATAAAAAAATTAATCACAATTGAGATGGAGTAGGTGGGTGGGGCATATCATTTGATTTGTTTTTCGTAACATACTAGTCTTCTCTCAACAGTAAAATACTTGAAATACCAAAGGGTAAATTTGAGATTATAATTATTATGTTTTAAGTATCGTGTTGTTGATAAAAAACTATGCACATTTAGAAAAAGAGGTAAATGATTAAGCCCCACCCACCCGCCCTATCTCAATTCTGATGAATGTTTCGTTTGTTGTCAGATTGAGGGGTGGAGCTTAACTGCAAAATCCATATTTTTCTACAAAATAGTAAAGATATTTCAATTTTGCACTTCCTCATTTTTTTAACATCTTTCACTAATTTCTTGTAGAAAAATATTGACTCTGCATTTAAGCTCCGCCCTCTCATAACGAATAAAAAAATTAATCACAATTGAGATGGGGCTGGTGGGTGGGGCTTATCCTTTGAATTTTTTGTCGTAATAAACTAGTCTTCTTTCAACAGTAAAATACTTAAAATATCAAAGAGTGAATTTGGGATTAGAATTATATTTTAAATATCGTGTTTTTGAAAAAAAAACTACATACATTAAGAAAAAGATGTCAATGATTAAGGCCCGCCCACCCACCCTATCTCAATTCTGATGAATTTTTTATTTGGTGTCAGATTGAGGGGCGTAACTGCAAAATTCATATTTCTCTACAAAGTAGTAAAAAATATTTCAATTTTGCAGTTGCTCAATTTTTCAATTTGTAGATATTTTAATTTCTTCTAATTTCAATTTTTTTATGTTTTATTTTTCCGGATTCTAATTTTTAATTTAATTCAAAAAGAACACATTTATTGAATTAAAACTGAAATTTTCACGATTTTTTACTTCCACCGCTTATTATTAATTTACATTGCGTTGACCAAGCATCTTTTTGTTCTTTTTCTGTGGATCTCCTTTTGCTTTTGAGAGACTAAGAATATTCATTCCCAATCTTTTTCTCATAATAGTATTTTCTACAATACAATCATGACTCAAACATATGGACTTTGCATTTAAGCTCCGCCTCTCGATCTCATAACCAATAAAAAATTCGTCACAATTGATATCGGGAGGGGGGTGGGGCTTAATTTTTTATTTGTTTTTCTTTGTATGTGTAGTTTTCTTTGAACAACACGCTACTTAAAACATATTTCACATGGTAATTTAATGTAGGGAAATATGAATTCGGCATTTAAGCTCCGCCTCCCGTCTCTCTACGAATAAAAAAATCAATCACAATTGAGATGGAGCAGGTGGGTGGGGCTTATCCTTTGATATTTTTTTCGTAATACACTAGCGTTCTTTCAACACTAAAATACTTAAAATATCAAAGAGTGAATTTGGGATTAGAATTATGTCTTAAGTATCGTGTTTTTGAAAAAAAAAACTACATACATTAAGAAAAACGTGTCAATGATTAAGCCCCGCCCACCCACCCAATCTCAATTCTGATGAATTTTTCATTTGGTGTCAGATTGAGGGGCGGAGCTTAACTACAAAATCGATACTTCTCCACAAAATAAAAAAAATATTTCAATTCCGCACTTCCTCAATTTTTTAATTTGCATATATATTAATTTTTCCTTATTTCAATTAATCGAGATTTCAATTTTTAAATTAATTTTAAAATTTTTCAAGTTCTCAATTTTCTAATGTTTCATATTCCCATATTCTAATTTTTAATTTTATTAAAAAAGAACAAATTTATTAAAACTAAAATTTTCACGATTTTTTGTTTTCACGGCTTATTATTCATTTATATTGTGTTGACTAAGCATTTTTTTGTTCTTTTTCTCTCGATTTTCTTTTGCTTTTGAGAGATTACGAATATTCATTCCCAAACTTCTTTCCATAATAGTATTTTGTACAATACGATCATGACTCAAACATATGGAACTTGCATTTCAGCTCTGCCCCTTGATCTCATAACCAATAAAAAATTCGTAACAATTGAGATCGGGCGGGTGGGCGGGGCTTAATTTTTTATTTGTTTTTCTTAGTATGTGCAGTTTTCTTTAAACAACACGGTACTTAAAACATATTTCACATGGTAATTTCATGTAGGGAAATATGAATTCTGCATTTAAGCTCCGCCTCCCGTCTCACTACGAATAAAAAAATTAATCACACTTGGGATGGGGCAGGTGGGTGGGGCTTATCCTTTGATTTTTTTTCGTAATAAACTAGTGTTCTTTCAACACTAAAATACTTAAAATATCAAAGAGTGAATTTGGGATTAGAATAATGTCTTAAGCATCGTGTTTTTGAAAAAAAAAAAAACTACATACATTAAGAAAAACCTGTCAATGATTAAGCCCCGCCCACCCACCCAATCTCAGTTCTGATGAATTTTTCATTTGGTGTCAGATTGAGGGGCGGAGCTTAACTGCAAAATCCATATTTCTCTACAAAGTAGAAAAAAAATGTTTCAATTTGTAGATATTTTAATTTTTCCTTATTTCAAGTAATCGAGAATCCAATTTTTAATTTAGCTTTTAAATTTTTCAAGTTTTCAATTTTTAATGTTACATTGATTCTAATTTTTAATTTAATTCAAAAAGAACAAATTTATTAAAACTGTAATTTTCACGATTTTACAGTTTTTGATTTTTCAATTTAATATTAATATAAAATTATTTACTTAATGTTTTCTTAACTAATTAATTTTTAATTTCTTTCACCTCGTTTGTCTATTGTGTTGACTGAGCATTTTTGTTCTTTTTCTGTCGATCTCCTTTTGCTTTTGAGAGATTAAGAATGTTCATTCCTAATATTTTTCTCATAATAGTCTTTTCTACAGTACGATCATGACTCAAACATATGGACTTTGCATTTAAGCTCTGCCCTTCGATCTCATAACCAATAAAAAATTCGTCACAATTGAGATCGGGCGGGTGGGCGGGGCTTAATTTTTTATTTGTTTTTCTTAGTATGTGCAGTTTTCTTTCAACAATACGGTACTTAAAACATATTTCACATGGTAATTTCGTGTAGAGAAATATGAATTCTGCATTTAAGCTCCGCCTCCCGTCTCTCTACGAATAAGAAAAAAATCACACTTGAGATCGGGCGGGTGAGTGGGGTTTATCCTTCGATTTTTTTTTCGTAATATACTATACTTCTTGCAACAGTAAAATATCTAAAATATCAAAATGTGAATTTGACATTAGATTTATGTTTTATGTATCGCTTTGTTGAAAAAAAAAAACTATATACATTCAGAAAAACGTGTCAATTATTAAGCCCCACCCACCCACCCTATCTCAATTCTGATGAATTTTTCATTTGTTGTCAGATTGAGAGGCGGAGCTTAACTGCAAAATCCATATCTCTCTACAGAATAGTAACGATAAGTTCCGCCCACCCGCCCTATATTAATTGTGATGCTTTTTTTAATCGGCGTCAGATACGATTTTGACGATTTTACAATTTTTGGATTTTTCAATTTTTATATTTAAATGTTTCTTAACTAATTAATTTATAATTACTTTCACCACGTTTATTTATATTGTGTTGATTGAGCTTTTTTTTAATAGCACCCATTTTTAAGTTTTTAAAAATTTTTTATTAGTGTTCCGATTTTGCAATTTCTCGATTTTCCCATTTTTGGTAGACTTTACAGTTTTCGAATTTAATTTAAGTTTTCCGAAGTTTCCAAAAACTCTTGAATTTTTCGTTTTTCGATTCTATAATTGCTTAGATTTTTAACTTTTTCGGTTTAGTAATATTCAATTTTTTCTTCGATTTTTCGATTTTTCAATTTGTAGATATTTTAATTTTCCTTTTCAATGTAATTAATTTAATTTTTCTAGTTTTCAATTTTTAGTCTTTCAAATTTTAACTTTTAAATAATCAAGTTCTTGTTGTGGCGTTGTTAAATTATGTACAAATTTTATTCAAATTGAACTTTTGAAAAATTATAAAGAAGGCATTTTTTTCATGTTGCTCTTTTATTTTCGATGTGATTCTTCGAAAAATGGAAACATCCAAAATAAAAAGTCAAAAATTGGAAATCTAACTGAAAAAACGAAAAAATAAAATGTCGAAAAATTCAGGTATTTAAAATTAATAATAGATAGAACCAGTCTAAAAGGTGAAGCAACGAAATATTGAAAAACAGAAAAATTCAAATGTGCAAAATTTAAAAATTGGAAAATTTAAACTGGAGACTCATAACATTACAAATTAAAAAATTGCGGAAACGAAAAATTAAAAATCGAAAAAATGAAAAAACAAAATTTTTAAGTTTAAATTAGAAATTAAAAAAAAATGCAACACGAGAAACCGAAGAATCTAGAAATTGCAAATCTCAAAGGTGAAAAATTAAACTGGAAACTAAAAAAAACGCAAATCAAAATATTAGAGAAAAGAAAAATTAAAAATTGAGGAACGGATAATTCGAAACACTGAAAAACAAAAAAAAAAAATAGTAAAAGTGTATTTACTGAAATATTCGAAGAGTTGCATTACGGACAGCCTACAACGAATAAAGAAAAATCGTCAGAATTGAGACAGGGCGGGTGGGCGGGGCTTACGATTTCACTTTTTTTTCTCCCACACTTCTCTACAATTTTACCATTTTAAACAAGTTTTCAGTTCCTTGTCGTGAATGGAAAACTACATGCATATAAGAAAAAAAAGGCAAAATACAAAACCCGCCCACCCGCCCTTGTCTCAATTGGGATGAATTTTCTTATTCGTTGTGAGCCGAGGGGCGGAGCTTAATTGCAAAATGCTTATTTCTCTACAAGAAACGATCATGTATAATATGCTTTTAAGTATGAAGCTATTGCTATTCATAATTTTGTTGTGTAATTCTAAATTATATGAGGTATAAATATGTCCTAATAGACAGAAGGGAAACATTTTTTTTTTGGACGAAAATTTAGAAAAATATCTAATTTTCGTGTGAAAGAAATTCAGCAGTTCTGTAAAATTTATCGTTTAATCACTATACTCACTTTGATGTGCGTCATGCGATGGTAGTACAGGTTGGAGGAGGCCGTGAATCGCTTGAGACACACGGGACACTGGTGTGGCTTTTCGCCGCTGTGGATCCTCCGATGGGTGTTCAGGGACGAGGACGTGCTGAAGCCTTTCCCGCAAACCATGCAGACGTGCGGCTTTTCACCTACACAAATATCAAAAATAACCCCACTAATGCTAACCTTCGCGCCACTGACCCGTATGAGTCCTCATGTGCCTCTTCAACAGCGACGGCCTGTCGAACGCCTTGTTGCAGACCCCGCAGGGCAGCAGCGTCCGCTCCCTCGGCCTGGCCCTCGGCGTCGGGACGCTCGTTTCCGGGAGGTCGCCCTGCGAGCTGGCCGCCGAGCTGTCCCCGGAAACCGACTTCCGCTCGTCCTCGGCGGAAGGAGGCGACCCGCTCAAGGCCCTCGACAGCAGGGACATCGACAAGTCGAGTGGTGAGTCTGAAAAAAGTTTTCATTAATTCCAGCGCCGATGCTTCACATTCATGAAACCGTCATCAGCCGCATGCTTGCTATGAAACAATAGCTAATTTGGAAGCCGCAACAGCGAAGAGCGATGGATTTATGGCCTCCTTTGCACAACTTAACATTTTGATTGCTTTAATTTATAATGGCGCAGCCACCAAAAAAGGTCGGCCCGAGATAAATCTAATTATCGCGCGTCTTGCTTTATCGGATTTTTGTTTAATTTGGTTTTAATTGCCCGGATGAAAAAAGGGATTTTGTTGCGTAATCGTGCAGGATGATGGATGGTGAGTGAAAGAAGATACGCCGGCGCTGGTTTGATAAATTATACGAGGGTAATTAAGAGGGAAAACAATTTTTGCTGGTTTAGAGATGGCTCGAATTAATTTGAAAAATAAAACCAACAGTGACGGCAACAGGTAGGCAACGAATAATTAATTCTAGACTTCCTATCATCATTTATTTCAGTTAAAATTTGACGAAAAAGTTCTATATTGTGTTTAAAATAATAATTTAGACAACGAACTATTTTTAACATTTGATTCTTTTTTTTTTTTAGATTTTCAAACAGTCAGGTTTCGGTGGCTGTAAATTTCAGGTGATTATTATATTATTATATTCTTGTATCTAGCCACAAAGGACGAAAATAGAGAGTTTACCAATTTAGACCTGTTTCGAGTTTCTAAGAATAAAAAAATCAATACAGTTGAGATGGGGTGGGTGGGCGGGGTTTATATTTTGGCTTTTTTTTTCTTAATATACATAGTATTCTTTAAACAACACAATACTAAAAAACATGTTCTTAATTTCTTGTAAAGAAATAAGTATTTTGCAGTTAAGCTCCGCCCCATTGGTTCACGGCGAATACAAAAAATCATTACATTTGCGATAGGGCGGGTGGGCGGGCTTAAATTTTGACTTTTTGTTTTAATATGTATAGACTTATTTTCACAACATGGAACTTAAAACATGTTTAAAATGGAAATCTGTATAAGGAAACATTGATTTTGCAATTACGCTCCGCCCCATATTTCCTTGCAAAAATGTACCATTTCACCCATGCTCTAAGTTTTTTGTTGTGAAAAGATGGCTATGTATATTAAGAAAAAAGAGGCAAAATATAAGCCCCGCCCACCCGCCCTATCTCAATTCTGATGAATTTTTCATTTGTTGTCAGACTGAGGGGCGGAGCTTAATTGCAAAATCCATATATTCCTATCTTAATTGTGATGCTTTTTTTAATCGTCGTGAGCCAGTGGCGGAGCTTTAAATGGATGTTTTTCTATAAAAATTTACTATTTTTTTAACATGTTTTAAGTATTTTGTTATCAAAAGAAAAATGTATATCAAGAAAAAAGGCAATATATAATTTTCAATTTTTTAATTTACAATTTTTCGACTTTACAGTTTTCCGATTTTAGGTTTTCTACTTTTCAATCTTTAATTTTCCTATTTTACATTTTTTTAGTTTTTATTTTTTGACTTTGTAATTTTTCAGTCTCCCAGATTTTTTGGCAGTTCTTCGATACTTCAGTTCTGGACTTCCTCGATTTTTCAACGTGAAGATATTTTGATTTTTTCTTATTTTTTCTTATTATTCAATTTTCAATTTAGCTTTTAAATTTTTCAAGTTCTCAATTTTCTGTTTCGTTTTCCCGGATTCTAATTTTTAATATTCATTCCTAATATTTTTCTCATAATACCTAGTATTTTCTACAATACGATCATGACTCAAACATATGGACTTTACATTTCTCTGTCCCTCAATCTCACAACCAATAAAAAACTCGTCACAATTGAGATCGGGTGGGTGGGTGGTACTTAAATTTTATTTTGATTTTCTTAATATGTGTAGTTTTCTTTCAAAAACACGATACTTAAAACATATTTCACTTGGTAATTTCTTGAAGAGAAATATGAACTGTGCATTTAAGCTCCGCCCCCCGTCTCACGACGAATAAAAACATTAATCACAATTGAGATGGGGCGGGTGGGTGGGGCCTATCTTTTAATTTTTTTTCGTGATATTTTAAAAATATCACGAAAAAAAATACTTAAAATATCAAAGGGTGAATTTGAGATTAGAATTAGGTTTTAAGTATCGGGTTGTTGAAAAAAAACTACATATATTAAGAAAAAGATATCAATGATTAAGCCCCACCCACCCACCCTAACTCAATTCTGATGAATTTTTCATTTGCTGTCAGACTGAGGGGCGGAGCTTAATTGCAAAATCCATATTTCTCTACAGAATAGCAAAAATAAGTTCCGCCCATCTGCCCTATCTTAATTGTGATACTTTTTTTGAATCGTCGTGGACCACGATATTCACGATTTTACAGTTTTTGGATTTTAAATTTTTATAGTTATATTTTTCTCAACTAATTAATTTTTAATTGCTTTCACCGCGTTTATTTACAATGTGTTGACTGAGCATTTTTTTAATAGCACCCATTTTTGAGTTTTTAAAAATTCTTTAGTTTTTCGATTTTTTAATTTCTCGATTTTCCGATTTTTGTTAGATTTTACAGTTTTTCGGTTTGCAGTTTTTCGAATTTGTTTTAGGTTTTTCAAAGTTCCTAAAAACTCTTGAATTTTTCAGCTTTTCGATTTTATAATTGCTTTGATTTTTAACTTTTTCAATTTAGAATTATTCAGTTTTACAGTTTTTCGATTTTCTATCTTGCAAATTTTCGTTACTTCAGTTTTTCCATCTGCAATTTTTCGTTTCTTGATCAATTCGGATGATTTTTTTTATTCGTCGTAAGCCGAAGGGCGGAGTTTAATTGTAAAATCCGTCCCCTCTACGAGACATTACCATGTGAAATATGTTCTTAAGTAATTGTGTTATACAAAGAAAACTAAATGTATTAATTAAAAAAGAAAACTAAAAGTGAAGCCCCACCCATCCGACTCGATCTCAATCGTGATGAATTTTTTATTCGTTGTCAGACTGAGGGGCGGAGCGTAATTGTAAAAGCGATGTTTTCCTACACAGATTTACCACTTTAAACATATTTTAAGTTTTTTGTTGCCGAAATAAAACTACACATATTAAGTAAAAAAGGCAAAATGTAGAAGAATTTTCTAGTTATTTTTAGTTTATTTGGTTTCTGTAATTGAAATCAATAAATATAATATAATAACATTATCGGACTGTTCGAGAACAATATGACATTCACCGGCTCCACAACTTTTGTAACCATTTTTTGTCGCCATATTTTTCGGTGCACTTTTCGACTTTTTTTGTAGGTTTTTTCTCCTTTTTTCTGCATTTGGTGTCCTCTTTTTTCGTCTTTCTTTATCACTTCTTTCTGGTCTATGTTTTTATCGTGTATTTTTGTCGCCTTTGTTTTTTTTTCACTTTTTTTTGACGTCTTTCTTGGCACATTTTTGATCATTTTTAGCCCTTTCTTCATTTTACTCGTACTTTGGCGCTTCTTTTTGTCACTTTTCTTATGAATTTTTTACATTTTTTATCACCTTTTTTGTTGCTTTGTCACATCATTTTTTACTTTTTTGTAGGTTTTTGGAGACCCATTTTGACACTTTTTTGTCACATTTATCGCCCCGTTTTTTGGTCTTTTTTTTGTTATTGCCTTATCATGACACAATATTGTGTTTTTTGGCTTCGTTTTTCCTCCCTTGACTATAGCGCTATTACGCATTTTTTTCGATTTTTTTTTGGTGTATTATTTTGGGAGCCCATGGAGATTTTTTTGTAAATTATTTAAAACAATTTTGGGGGACTTTGCTGTTCTATTTTGGAAAATTCCGACCCGACTTGTTTTTCAGTTAATTTTTGGACCCCGTTTTTTTTTTGAAAAATTTAAAAGGATCTTGAGGATCTAGGTATTCCTGTTTGGAAAGAATTTGAAGGTGCTTTGGAGCCTCTGGTGTCGTTTCTTATCATAATTTAATTAAATTTTTTACGACCATACGTCATTTGGTAAAATCAGTCTTAACAGGTACTAGACCCGCCCACCCACCCTCTCTTTTCTTAGAGGGTATGTCATTTGCCAGAATCAGTCTTATCTTATCAGATACTAGCCCCACCCACCCACCCTCTCTTTTCTTAGAGGGTATGTCGTTAGCCAAAATCAGTCTTATCTTGGCAGCTACTAGATTTTTTCGCCTTTATTTGGACTTCCTTTCCTTTATCATTTTTTTCTGCTCTCATTTTTTTCCCTTGCGTGTTGTTGTTTGTCTTTTTCATTTTTTTTGCTAGCTTTATTGATCTCTTTTTTTATATTTTTAACCCTTTCTTAACCGTTTTTTGACGCTTCTTTTTGGTAGGTTTTTATCAACGTTTTACGTTTTTTATCACCTTTTTTTGGAACTTTTTTTGCAACTTCTTTTGTCGCTTTTTCGTCACTCTTTTTCCATATCGCCTTTTTATGGCCCTTTTTTTCCTCCCTTGATTCCTTTCTAGCCTTTTTTAACGTAATTTTTTCGATGTTTTTTTATTATTTTCTTTTGGGCGGGGTTTATATTTTGGCTTTTTTTCTTAATATACGTTGTATTCTTTAAACAACACGATACTAAAAAACATGTTTTTAATTTCTTGTAAAGAAACAAGTGTTTTGCAGTTAAGCTCCGCCCCCCATTGGTTTACGGCGAATACAAAAAATCATCACATTTGAGATAGGGCGGGTGGGCGGGCTTAAATTTTGCCTCTTTGTTTTAATATGTGTACACTTATTTTCACAACATTAAACTTAAAACATGTTTAAAATGGAAAATTTGTATAATGAAATATTGATTTTGCAAGTAGGCTCCGCCCAATAATTGCAAAATCCATATTTCTTTGCAAAAATGTACCATTCTAACCATGTTCGAAGTTTCCTGTTGTGAAAAGATGGCAATGTATATTAAGAAAAAAAGGCAAAATATAACTAAGTAAATAAATAAGTGTTAAATTTTTAATTTAATTCAAACTGAACAAATTTATTAAAACTGAAATTTTCACGATTTTT